CCTTCTCCTTGAATAAGAAGATGCCAGCATCGGTAGTTAGATGTTTGCAGCCTAATTTCTCTAAAGACTCAGCAAGTGTGCGCCACCAGGCAAGCCCCGCTTGCTTAAGTCTGTAGAGTGCACGGCGCAGTCTACAAACCTTGTGCTCCTGGCCTTTTACGGCGAAGCCTTCAGGTTGTTCCATATAAATTTCCTCATCCAGTTTGCCATAAAGATAGGCATTGCGCACATCGAGTCCAGATATGTGCCAGTCCTCAAGCGCTGCTAGCGCGAGCATAAGGCGCACTGTCTCAAAGCGCACAACTGGTGAGAATATTTGGTCGAAGTCTATGCCTTCAACCTGCGAGAAGCCTTTAGCGACTAATCTCGCTTTGCGACGTCCATCTGATTTGACGTCAAATACCCAGCGACATTTTATGACTTTACGCCCTTTAGGGCGGTCAACCAAGTCGAAGACTCTGCGCCGACGAAGTGCATCCAATTCTTCGTGGCAAGCAGCTCTCCATTCCTTCTGCTTTTCTGGTGGTAAGCGAAGGATATCGCGGTACGTCCATTCTCTGACATTGGACGTGTCTGGATCATCTGCCTCGGGCGAAATAGCCTTCAGAAGCAGGTAATTGATCAATGGTACTCCCCCTTCCCGGCATAGCTGTGCCAGAAGTAACTCATCAGCGTCATGTTCAGACCGCTGGTCAGAGGCTTCAGGAGCGATTGGCTCATGCGAAGCACCCGGGGATTGAGCAGGAGGGTCGCGAGGTGGAGGGGCAGAGCTAGGTCCGGGAACCTGTTGCGTCTGCTTGGACTGGCGAGGTATGCGAGACGTCTTAGGTTTTTCGCCAACTAAATCCTTCCACTTCTTGTCTGACTCAATCTCGCGATAGGTTTCTACGGGATTCCGCAATTCACTGTAGATATTACCCGGGCGAGTTACTGGTCTCCTTTCTCTCACCGGTCTCCGCGGCTCATCTTGTGGCGCAGGATCCCCCGGAGGTGGAGAAGGCGGGTTCTCAGGCTCTCGCGCCTCAGGCTGCGCAGGTTCGTCGTCACGATCCTGGCCTGGCCCCTTTTGGGATATAGGAGGAGGACGTGAGTCTGGCTCATCGTCGTCGGTGATCCAGTCATCATCAGAATTTTCTGGTTGACTGTCAGCTGGTTTAGGCGCACTTTGCAGCCTAGTGCTTGCCCGTCGCTTTGTATTAGGGCATTTAGGGAACATAGTTTCGTCAAACAGCGCAGTAGGCTGAGTGACTATACTATTATTGGCGCGCATGAACTTGAAGCCATGGCCGCCATCAGCGACACCAATGTAAGTCATCAGCTCAGCTTTAGGCGATAACTTATTGGGTCTGGTTTCCTTAGGCAGGTAGACATACACTCCGCATCCAAAGACACGTAAGTGCTTGATGTCGGGAGCTTCTTTCTTCAGGACCTCATAAGGAGTCAGCCATTGATGGCGCTTCAAAGGGGTCCGGTTGTAGACGTGAACAGCATGGTCTACTGCAAATTCCCACCAAGATGGAGGTGAGCAGGACTCTAGCCGCATTGACTGCGCTTTGTCCATTATAGTCCGAATAAAGCGCTATGCGCGACCATTCTGTTGGTGCGCATAAGGTGCGCTCTGTCGGATTTTTATGCCCTCATCTCTGAGCATCTCAATGAATGCGTCAGATTTATATTCTCCCCCTGCATCGGACATCCACTCCTTAATTTTCCTGCCATATTGGTTTTGTACGTAGGCTAGGAATTGACGAGTCTTAGCAATTGCAGCACCCTTGGAGCGCATATGCATGACCCATCCATAGGAGGTGTAATCGTCAAAGAAGACGATTGTGTACCGATACTTATGGTAGGAGTCTACGGGAAATGACTTAAGATCCGAATGAATTAACTCAAACGGTTCTTTTGCCCGTAGAGTGGATGGCAGGAAAGCCTTAGAAGGCATTTTCCCTTCCGCACATCCAGGGCATACTGGGTCTTCCAATGGAAACTCCAAATTGGTGGGGAAACCTTTGGTGTGTTCCCTAGCTTGCCGCAGGACTTCCTTAGAGGGGTGTCCCATGCGACGGTGCATAATCCCATAATCGACCGCATAGATTGTTGGGAATATAGAGTACGCATCCGGTGCAGGAATTGTACTGACACTATAGATAGTGTCGCCGGGCTGCCGTGGTAAAAACCTGAATAAAGGTTCGCGCAATCCCTTTTCATAAAGACTTATGTGTCGGTCATTGCCAGACACTTTTAGTTTATCCTGGAGCAATACTCCGAGTGACATGAGGCGAATATTCAGGTCAGGTATATAGTATACTGGAAATAACCGAGTGGTTATGTTCCCGACGTCCTTGATATAATAATTCAGGACAGTCGTACCAAACCCGAGTATTCGAGCAAACCCGTTCGCGGTAGACGCGGTCGCAGGTTGCTTAAATTCCTCAAAGTCGATAAAATCACTCATGTCATAAGTGAAATGTTGAGAGGCCCCCGAGTCGAGAATCCAGGTGTTACCCTGTTGTGCCTTATCTTTCCCCTTACATTTTGCACACGCAGCATAAGTTTGCGCATGAGTGCAATATATTAAAGCCAACGTTACAGGACTCAAGTTAAGATCTACACTACGCTGCCCTAACTGTGATGGCGCGTCAGTGGAGTCCTGTAAAGGGGAAGATAGCACGTACGAGTAGTGCTCGTCAATAAAGGCATTCTGGTCGAAGCCAGCAGCCTCCGCGATAGTGCGGTCCAGGTCTTCCTCGTCGCCGAGACTAACAGTCTCCCCCTGGTCCTTGTCACTACCCCAGTCGATAGACTGGTTGTCGTCGTGGTCGCTGTCCGCAGCGTCATCCGCGCGAGCAACTCCTTCGAAGCGAGCGCGCTTGGACGCGCGGCTGGAGGCGACAGAGTCGGCATCCTCCATGTCGATATCCGGGTCCGGATCGACTTGCCCGACAAGAGTGTCCAAGACCTTGATATCTTCTTCGGTGGGACTTATGTCGAGGTCCCGCGCGAGCTTGAAGGCTTTCTTGATACGCTTGTTGTTGTAGTGACTAGTATCCGCCGAAGGAGGTGGGTGGAACGGACCTTGCTCTTTGACCATCCGAGTCTTGCTGCCGGTAGGCGCAATGTCGAGGATGTGAGCGATAGTCGGAGGAGGAAGGGAGACGGTCGAGGCGATCAAGACGTCGTGGGCATGGTGGTGATCGTGGTTTTGCCCTTGACGCTTCTTGCCTGCGCGCTTGCCGCGATAAGGGTGCCTCTTCCCATCTCGCGCATTGCCGCTGCTGCCCTGAGGGCGCTGCTGCTGCTGCGAAGAAAAGGAGGGATCGCCCGGCTTACGCTTCACCGCCGAGATCTTGTGCGCACCTAGCTGTGTCGTCTTCTTGTTCTGGGATTGCTCCCAGGCAGTGACGACAGCCTCCCGGACTTTGTCAATGTCCATGGTCGATGTCGATCCCTGGACTAAAACTTGAACGACAGAGTCATACCGAGGAGGGAGCGCATTGAGACAGATTAATCCCTGGAGACAGTTAGGGATGGTCTGGCTTTCAGAAGCCAAAGCGTTAAAATGCTTGGTGATCTTGGCAAAGGCGGGAGCGGGATGTTGGTCGGCCGGGATCCTGGTAGTTAACGCCCCACGCAGCTCATTATAGATGGAGGCAAGGGATGAGATACCATACGTGAAACTGAGCTCCTTCCAGGTTTCTATAGCCGTTGTCTTGTCTTGAATAAGGGTGGCAACGGCAGGGGAGCATCGAAGACGAATTGTACCGATGGTCTTGGTATCATTCAGTCTCCAGGCGTCTCGTGCAGAGGTATCTTCACTGGTGCTGCCGTCCTTGTAGGTGGTTACAACAGGGTCAGGCATAATAATTGTACCGTCACAGTGTCCCCAAAGGCCTTGGGACATGAGGTACGCCTTCATCTGTTGAGACCAGAGCGACCAGTTCGAGCCGTCGAGGACGGGGACAACGGCGATCAGATTATTCGACATTGTTTGAGGAGCGATTGAGAGATCTGAAATCTGTATTGAGATCTCATCAGTATCAGCGAAGCTATGCAGCCCGATAAGGGCGCACTGCTCCATGCTGTTGGCTCCATTAGGGAGTTACCCCAGGATCGATCATCAAGCCTGATGGCTGCTGATAACAGCGCCTACGGCGATGATCATGCATCAAGCCACACTGCAGCCTGTGAGGGCGCATAGGGCGATGCACAGGTGAGCGAGGCGCAACGCGCTGCAGCGAGTTACCGCGCAGACGCAAGCTGCCTATTTGGGCTCATAACCTGATGAAGAGTTATGGAGGCAGCAGCACGCACAGTGCGCCCTACACAACTCACCTGTATTGGTTGGATGCTGTAGCTACTGGTAAAGCTCGTATAAACGACCCTTGTCATTAGGCAGCAGAGCTGCAGGGTTTATATACACTGTGGCCCATAGGCTGACTAAGCTACGTGGAATATCTATAATCCTACTGAGCTCCACCTATGATGTCACTGACCCACATGAGCTCCGTGCCCTTGTACAATAATGGAATATACCAGAATGTTCCAGAGGGTTCCGGTACGTTCTGGCACGTTGTAGAACCTGGCAGCTAAGTCAGC